CCAGGAAGAAGTTTCTGTCTTCCTGTTTGAATTGATCCAGCTTTGGCCATTGTGGTCATTTAGAGTGAACCAGAAGTCCTCTCTGTGTCTCAGGCTTTTTTTTTTTTTTTTTATAAACCTGAGCTTGATCATATAAACTTTATAATGATAAACTTGAATTTACATTAACATTGAAGCTTCCTACACAAGGGACATAGTCTGTACTTTCTCTACTAAGTATTTAGTATTTGTTCTTTTTTTATGTTTGAAGGAGATGTTGGTGGTCAATCCAGTTTTTCATGAAAGTTACTAGTGTTGAGATCTGTTCAGCTTTTTAATTCCAGCACGTCTTTAGTGGTTTGCTTCAGACAGCTTGTACTTCAATGAGTAACTGTGTAATCTCCATTCTACAGAAAGCTAAATCTTGAGGAGAAACATATTCTGTTTTATTATAGTAACAAACTTCTTAAATCAGTTTTTCAGCTGATTACTCTGTTCATCAGTATCTCTAGTCCTGTCATGGACCTCTGAGTTTGCTGTCATTTCTTGCCCCTACTAGCTTTTGTTGCTGGTGGTGTGACTCAATAGGTGGGTGCTCCTAGAAGAGAAGAATAATAAACTAGACCCTTAGTCTGCTTTTCCTTGAACTGTTATGGTTCCTACATCTACATTCTTCTATATTTCCATATTTTTCTCTATAAGTTATCCCTGCCTTATAATTCTATTATTCATCACATGCTTTTTTGGTGAAAGGATTACATGTAATAGTATCGATTATAACTGGACTCGTACATAAATACTTGACCCATTTTGTAAAATCATATTAAGCAAATTACCTGAATAAGATAGTTTAAGGATATTAAAAAATACGGCTGGGGCCAGCACTGTGGAGCATATTAATCCTCCGCCTACAGTGCTCCCCCCAGTAGATGTTTTCTAAATGTGACAGTATTCTAAGTAGGCTTTTAACTTTTATACTTGATTTCTTGTGCTTTATATTTTAATTATTAGGCCATGTGACATGTTACTGTTTCAGATTGACCATGTACTACTTTTCTTGTCACAGGAGCTTGAAGTAATTTTGCAGAAGTTATGGGAGTTGGGATTTAGGGTAATACTTCAATTATAAAATGAAATTGGGATGTGGTTAACCAAATGTAGTAGGATGGAAATTCCTATTGATATGAAGGCATGCATATTAGTACAAGGAGTCAGAGGAAGGGAGCCCTGTCCCTGTAGACTCAAAAGCCCCGTTGCTTTGTTTTTTTTTTTTTTTTTTTTTTTTTTTTTTGACAGGCAGAGTGGACAGTGAGAGAGAGACAGAGAGAGAAAGGTCTTCCTTTGCCGTTGGTTCACCCTCCAGTGGCCGCCGCTGCAGCCGGCGCACCGCGCTGATCCTGGCAGGAGCCAGGAGCCAGGTGCTTTTTCCTGGTCTCCCATGGGGTGCAGGGCCCAAGCACCTGGGCCATCCTCCACTGCACTCCCTGGCCATAGCAGAGAGCTGGCCTGGAAGAGGGGCAACCGGGACAGAATCCGGCGCCCCAACCGGGACTAGAACCCGGTGTGCCGGCGCCGCAAGGTGGAGGATTAGCCTATTGAGCCACGGCGCCGGCTTGCTTTGTGTTTAATTCTAATAATTAGGTCTCTGGGATGACCGGGTGGCTGTCCCTACATACCTTCGAAACTTTATAGTTGTGCTCAAGATCACACTGATTCCTAAGAACACTGTGCATCTTTGTCAATTTCAGAGGTTGAATATAGTATTGATAAAGTAAATTTTACAGACCAGGATTAGATATTAATCTTTATTGAAACCAGTATTTCCTTATTCCCGGGTCAAAGAAGGTAGTTCTGAGAAGTCAACAGAACTGAGTGGTGTGGCTAATGGTCATTCATTTGGTTACATTCTCTTGGGCATATATGTTTTATTTAGTTTCTTTGTTATTTTTCCTTCACAGTAAAGGAAGGAACATCTTGGTGAGTGTGAGAGAAGTGAATTTTGCATGGTGATTTACACTGTACAGTTTTTTTTATTAGGGTATACAACTTAAATGTATTTCATATATGCAGACTTAGGAATATAGTGATATTTTCTATCCTACCCTCTCTCCTGACCACACTGCCACCCTTTCTCTTCCTTCCTGTCATATTCCCTCTCAATTTTTTTTTTAAAGATTTTATTTATTTGAAAGACAGAGTTACAGAGATAGGTAGAGACAGAGAGAGAGAGAGGTCTTCCATTCCACTGGTTCACTCCCCAAATGACCACAATGTCCAGAGCTGAGCTGATCCAAAGCCAGGAGCCAGGAACCTCTTCTGGGTCTCCCACATGAGTGCAGGGGCCCAAGGAGTTGGGCCATCTTCTACTGTCTTCCTAGGCCATAGCAGAGAGCTGGATCAGAAGAGGAGCAGCCAGGACTAGAACAGGTGCCCATATGGGATGCCGGTGCTACAGGCTGGGGCTTTAACCTGCTGTACCACAACGACACCCCCCTCCTCAATTTTTATAATTATCTTCTTTCAGTTTACTTTATACTCATTAACCCTATACTAAGTCAAGAGTTCAACAAATAGTAAGAAGAAAATAATCACTTTCTCAACAGTAGAGACAAGGACTGGAAACAATCATTGACTTTCAAAATTTTAATTTCACTCCTACACACTACATTTTTGGTATTCTATTAGTTACCACAAACCAGGAAAACCATTGTATCTTTTTGGGACTGGCTTCTTCTAAGTATAATGGTTTTCCATTTGCATCCATTTTATTGTTAGAGACAGGATGTCATTCTTTTTTTTTTTTTTAGTGCTGAGTATTATTCCATAGTGTTTATATTCCATGATTTATTTATCCAGTCATCAGTTGATGGGACATCTGTGTTGATTCCATAACTTTGCTGTTGTGAATTGAACTGTGATAAACCTGGAGGTACAGATAACTCTTTCATATAATGATTTCATTTCACTGGGGTACATTTCCCGGAGTGGGATTGCTGGGTCCTATGGTATATGTATTTTCAGTTTTATGAGGTATCTCCATTATTGTCTTCCATAGTGGCTGTACCAATTTTCATTCCTACCAACAGTGGATTAGGGTACCTTTTCCCCCACATCTTTGTCTGTATTTGGTGTTTGTTGGTTTCTGTATGTGAGCCACTTTTTTTTTTTTTTTTTTTTGTATGTGAGCCATTCTGACCGTGAGGTGAAACATCATTGTGGTTTTGATTTGCATTTTCCTAATGGCTAGTAATCCTGAGCATTTTTTCGTGTGTCTGTCCATTTGAATTTCCTCTTTTGAAAAATGCCTGTTCCAACCAGCTCTCTGCTGTGGCCCGGGAGCACAGTGGAGGATGACCCAAGTCCTTGGGCCCTGCACCCGCCTGGGAGACCAGGAGAAGCACCTGGCTCCTGGCTTTGGATCAGCGTGGTGCACCAGCCGTGGCGGCCATTGGAGGGTGAACCAACAGTAAAGGAAGACCTTTCTCTTTGTCTCTCTCTCACTGTCCACTCTGCCTGTCAAAAAAAAAAAAAAAAAAAAAAAAAGCCTGTTCAAGTTCTTTGCCCAATTTTTAACTGGATCATTTGTTTCATTGTTGTTGAGTTTGAGCTCTTTATAGATTCTGGATATTAATCCTTTATCAGATGTATAGTTTTTAAATATTTTCTGCCATTCTGTCAGTTGCCTCTTTATTATGCTGAGTGTTTGTTTTGCAGTGCAGAAGCTTCTTAGCTTGATATAATCCCACTTGCTGTTTTGGCTTTGACTGCCTGTGCTTCTGAGATCTTTTCCAAGAAGTCTTTGCCTATGCCAATGTCTGCAGAGATTCCCCAGTGTTCTTCTCTATTAATTTGCTGGTGTTGGGTCACAGATTTAGATCCATGATCCATTTTTGTGTTGGTTTTTGTAGATCGTGTACAGTAGGTGTCTTGTTTCATATTTCTGCATGTGGAGATACAATTCTCCCAGCACATTTTGTTAAAGATACTGTTTTTCTCCAGGGATTGATTTTTTTTTAACTCCTTTGTCAAAGATTAGTTGGTTGTAAATGCTACCCTGTACAAATTTTAATTTTGATTATTGAAGAGGTAGATTGATATACATAAAGGTGTACTTAAGCATGCAAACATGAATGATGAGTTTCATTCTTATTAAAGCTGAATTTAGCCTTGTGCCACCTCGTAAGTTAGATGGTTGTTAATGCATCTTGTTATAAAACAGCGGAACTAGTTTTTTATTTACAAAATGTTTGACCCTTTTTTGCCATTTTAAAGATCTAATGCTGTCGTGAATAGGAGGAAGAATTGATAATTGATTCCAGCTACTTGAATAAAAATCTTGCCCAACTCTGGGATTTTAAAAATGTTTTTTTTTTTCTTTTCTAAATGCTTATTTTATTTTTTTCTCTTGAACTGCACTTTGCAGGAGACTAATTTATTCACTTTAGGAAGTGGTCTTATGGTTGTCTAGTAAGGAAATCAGTAAAATGGTTCTCAAATAAGCCAGAATGAAATTGAAAAGTATCTACTGTCATCACTAGTGATAAATCAAACTGACGTTAAAGATGAAAATAGTCATTCCAATAGATTCTTTTTTGCTGCTAGAATTGTTTAATTAAGCTGACAAAGTACTTTGTTTCTATTATACTGAATGCTAATGGTAAATTTAAAATTTTACTTCTATAGCATGAAAAAAATCAATGATATTTAAACCTTTATCATTGTATGCTGTCTGTATACTTAATGAGAATTAGTGGAATTAGTTGGGAGAATATTGTACCATAATTAGGTCTCTAGTTTGTGATGTCTACAAAGCCAATAAAGTTTAGTAAGCATTTGAAACTACCACATACTGGGTAACTTCTGCCTGTCTTTTTGAAAAATTAAAACAATATATATTGTATTTTTATTAGACTGTCAGGAATTTAATTACATTCAAGTTAGTATTGTACAATTTTGAATGTACTCTATTAACTAAAATTAAAAACTGTCATAAATTACTGATGAGTTTTTTTCATTTGCAGCATTTAAATATTAGAACACTGACGGATGATATGGTAAGGCTATCCTCATTGTCTCCTTTGTTATGAATTTTAACTAACCATGTGATGTTGATAACAGGCTAGGCTAACACTTTTGAAATTCTAAAAACTGCATGTATTGGAATGTACTGTTTCTTATACATCTAAAATAAGCAGAACTAGCAAAAGGCATTAAAATGTTGCTTTTAAGTTGTGAAAAGGAATGATCAATGTAGTGATTTAAAAATTTAATTATAAATTGTTAGTCAACTTTGAATCACTCAAATCAAATTGCATTCTTTGGGGATGCATTCACACTTCAAAAAGGGTAAAAAAAAAAGCAGCTAAAGATGTGTCAGCTTTTCAGAAATACATACTTGCTAATTAAAGTAAGCCAGACTAAAATGTAGTGCATATACTTTAAAAAAGTTTTGCTTCAAAAATGAGAGAACCAGGTATATTTTATTCTATGATCTTCATGTTGTAAACAATGGTTTCTTATAATTAACACCGTTTAGCAGCATAGCTTGTTAAAATTTTTGAGAAAAATGCTTTTGAATGTAATTCATGGTTAGTGATAAAAGAACTAACAAGAATAAAACACCACATAAACAATAACTCCAAAAATATGTTAGCATGGTAATACAGGAAAAAAACATAGTGCTTCATTGACCAGGTACCTGGGCAAGGTAGATATGCAAGGGTCAATGAGACATAAATTTTGACATGAATGATTAAAAAATTTGAATTGTTTTGATATGTTGTATTATGACTCTAACAAGAATATTCTATGAAGTTTTCTGGAGAACACTTAATTTTTCATTCATAGTTACATGCTGTTTAGCAATGGGGATACATTCCAAAAAGTGTAATTCATAGAGTAGACTTTCACAAACCTAGACAGTATAGCCTACTACACACCTAGTCTATATGATAGATACTATCATTAACTGAAGTGTTATATGACATGTTAATATACTAGTACTTAGAAATGGTAGCAATATGGAGTACTTGTGTAGATTATAAACAGTCTCTGACTATGGAAGGTAGTATTTTACAATTGAGGACAATGAAGCTCAGATAAGGAACTGGTGGTGCATCCGTAGCTTGAATCTCATTTCACATGGCTCCAAACCCTCTATGTTTACTATGTTCAAACCATTTGCAATTGTTATGTTTGAACTTTTATGAGAATATACAGTGGTATGTATATATATATGTATGTATTTTTAAAAATTTATTTGAAAGTCAGTTACACACACACACACACACACACAGAGAGACAGAGAGAGAGAGAGAGAGACAGAGACAGAGACAGAGAGAGGTCTTCTATCTGCTGGTTTACTGACCAATTGGCCACAGTAGCCAGAGCTGTGCTGATCCAAAGCCAGGAGCTAGGAGCTTCTTCCAGGTCTCTCACGCAGGTGCAGGGGCCCAAGGACTTGGGCCATCTTCTGCTTTCCCAGGCCATAGCAGAGAGCTGGATCAGAAGTGGAGCAGCCAGATCTCGAACCGGTGCCCATATGGGATGCCGGCACTGCAGGCGAGGACGTTAACCCACTGTACCACAGCGCCGGTCCCTACGATGGTATATTTGTAGCAGCTTTATTAAGATACAATTCATGTAGCGTACAAGTCAACTTGCCCACTGAAAGTGTATAAATCATTTTTTTTTCTGTATTCATGAGAGTTCTACAGGCATCACCACAACTAATTTTAAGATATTTTTGTTACTTTAAAAATTGCCAGAAATACTTGTTTGTTTTCCCTCCGTTCCCCCAGGCCTAGCCACCTTTGTGACAAAGATGTGCCTATTCTGTAGATTACACGAAAATGGACATAAACAATATGTGGTCTTTTGTGACTGATTTTTCTCACTTAGCTTTATAGTTTCAAGGGTTCATTCACATCATTACATATATCAGTTCTTCATTCTTGATTGTAGGATATTCTGTATGATGATTTTAGTGGTTTATATTTTATGGACATTCTGAATTTTTTCTTTCATTCACACACTATCCCTTCTTTATAGAGCTGCTCTGGCACATTGCCAACCCACAATATCTATACTAAGTTCTAGAACTACTCATGAAGTAGCTTTGGCAGGCCATTCTAGAAAACATCATGCTCTGTCTTATATTAATAATTGGATTTTTCTCTTAATTCATTCTCCAGCCTTCTCCCATTTCTCACTTCTCTCTTCATTCTTGGAACTGGCCTTGGTAGGGTTAAACTTTGGGTTGTTTGCCATGTTTTTAGCACCATGTTATTTGTCTCTGTCTTACTATCTTAAACCTTTTGAAGGCAGAGACTATATGTTCTTACTACTTCCTGTACCTGGCTTGTTACTTGGTGCATCACTAGCATTTTATTACTTGTTTTCTATTCCTGGTTGTTGTGAACAAATGAGAGAATGAGTCATTGCTTTGATAACTGGCCAGATATTGTGATTTCTATAGTTCTAGGCTTGCCTTGGCTGTGGTAAGTCTTCCTACAGATGGGTTCTTAACTTTTGCAAAAGTGTTTCTACGTTTTGTCAAGGAATGCCTGTCATTGTTTTTTTATTTTATAAATATTTATTCATGTATTTGAAAGAACTACATAGAAGGAGAGACAGAGAGGTAGAGAGATCTCCTGGTTCACTCCCCAAATGGCCAAAATAGCTGGGGCTGGGCCCAGCCAAGGGTAAGAGCCAGGAACTTCTTCCAGGTCTCCCTTGTGGGTGTAGGGGCCCAAGGACTTGGGCTATCTTAAGCTGCTTTCTCAGGCACGTTAGCAGGGAACTGGATCGAAAGTAGAGCTTCTGGAACTCAAACTGGGGATCCTATGGGACGCTGCCACCACGGACTGTGGCTTAACCCACTATACCATAATGCTAGCCCCCCCACCCCAGCTCCCTGTCTTTCTGAGCTTCTGCCTGGATTTCTGACTATTGCCTTGCCCCTACTGTCATCTCGGGTGTACATATGAGTGTGTCTCATGGATTCCTTGCTGACTTTCTTCCTGTGGACTTGAGGACTGAACAGCTTTCTCTCTACTCCTAATGTTTTCTTCTGGTCATCTTCTTTGCTTTGTTTAGTAGGCCAGGGAAGAACCAGGTAGGTAGTCTGATTCGGAAAGCTAGACCCCTTATTGTGAAGTTTGAAACTGAGCATGGCTATCTTGAATAGGAGGATACCCAAGAGAAATTCTTTCTGACTTGCTAACTAATGCAGTGTGGAAAGATTATTGGATTTGGAATTGGAAGAATCTTATTTTAAGACAACTTTACTACTTGGTTCTGACTTTGCAGATCGGTTATTTGATCACTTATTTGTAAGCAGGATTGATTACTTTTTCTACCTTCCTCATAGGGTTGGTGAGTTTAAGCTGAAGTGTGTTGAACTGCTGCGTTCAGTTCCATCCCTTTTTAACTCCTTTAAAAATTTCCTGATGTATGGTATGCACAGAGAAATGATGTGGCACATTTGCAGTTGAGCATTCCAGGGGATGTGTGTTTTAGATCAATGCAGAACTATGAGAAAGAAAAAGGTAGTTGGATATTTTGAGGGCTCTTTAAACTATTTTTGGTGTGTTGGAACTCAGGGAAGCATTTGCCACTGATGCTTTGATATGTGCTGGCAATATGTTTTCTAATTAAAGTTTGCCACCTGCATAACGTAGATGTTGCTAGTGTACTTCTAACTTAAAATTTCTTAATGTGACTAGCCATTTTGGGAAAGACTTTAAGAGGCACTGTAAGAATAGAGTTGTGCTCCAGTCATATATTTGAATAAGAGTCTTAGAAACATTAAATAGCAACGTGGGAAGCATTAATATTAAAAACTCATCTCTTTGGGCTGCTTTATTGAAGGTCTAAACATCCTTCAGATTTCAGGTTTATTTCTTGAATTTCTATTAATTGAATTTCACAGGACACTGTCTTGTAAAAAGCATGAAGGCTTACTATTGTGTTAGGATCCCTAGGCATAGTTGATAGATTTTAAATGGTGTTTATTCTACAAATATCTGAGATTATGTATAAAGTATAGTTCATTGTGTTAAGGTAATATAAAGGCAAACAAAGCATTAGTTATTTTATAACCTTCAGTATTAATACTGGGGTTCACAAGGCGATTTTCTTCATAGGGATAGAAAGGTGGGCTGCACGGGATAGGGAGGGGAGGCAAGTTGGAAGAAATTGACTTTGGGTGTAGCAGTGCGGCCTTACCCCATGAAAGTGTCCACTGAGTGTTTTTGTAGTCTAGTAGTTTTTGGGTTGCTCTTCATTTCCTTATCCGTCATAACTATCTGTCTACAGTACTCCTTCTCATATCTTCATCTTTCCTTTCATCCACTGCAGCCAGCATTGTTAGTATCCCTTGTTTGGCATGTAGCAAAGATTTTCAAATCCCTCCCCCCCTTTTTTTGTTAAACTAGGATCTCACAGTAAGACATTTTATTTTGTGGCCTATTACACATAAATCTTTTCACTGTTGAAACCAAGTTTTAAAAACCAAAATTCAATGTTTTCTAATGAACTATGACTTTTTCCCCCATCTCTTTCCACTTTTCATCACTCTTCTTCGTGCCCTAAAAGTGATCTAAATTACTAAACTGATTTCTCAAACCCAAAATGATTGAAAGCTACAGCTAGAAAAGCAAATATTAGCTTGCACAGAAACTAGAGGAAGTCATGAGATCTTTCTGTTAGTGTTTGTCCTTTATTAAATGTAGTTATTTAGGAAAGCTAGGAGAGAGTGCCTGGTCTGGTACTTACAATGTGACTTTCTGTAAGTAATTTAGCTTTTGAACTTTAGAATTCCTGTATATTGGGATTTTTTTCAAGGGGAAAATATATAAAGATGATTGGTAAACCATGCGTTTCTGACATTAGTGGTATAGTTAGTAATATGCACCTTTAAATTTAAATATTAATATATCAGTGTACTGGTTTTAGGGGTGGAACCTGAATTTTGATAAATGTATGATTGTTCATACATTGCAGTCACAGTACGAATCGCTTGTTGCATGTGCTACTTTGTAGTCAGATCTGG